TGTTAAATTTAAAGTTTAGCTCATTTAATTCTTCTAGATATTCAGTTTTGGAAATTTTAAGAGATTCAAGGAGAGAATGTACCTTCTTGATCAATCGATCGCAGTCGTTGATCTTCTCACTCACTGGCTTGGCTGCAAAACACTTGTTCTCAGTCATGTTCGGTTCTGTGTCTGCACTTTCGGTTGATGGTCCAGCAGTGACGATCAAGCATTTTCCACCAGAACCTTCATTCTTTGCCAGAAACGCATTTCCATGCGTGGGTCTTCTGACCTCTTCGTCTTCAGAATCTGTTGACCAGACTTCTACGCCGCCAAACTCGTCTTCCCCTGCATTTTCTTGTACAATTAGAGCATTCATCGAGCTGTTGGAAGTCATTTTCTTTTTGACTTCTTCAAGTTTTCGCATGTAATACGCTTCATCATCTTCACCCTCTCTCTTCTCAGCCATCTTTCTTAACATGCAATCTTTGGCAAAGTGGTTCTTGCCGTGACAGTAATTGCAGTCGTATCCAGAGTCTCCTGCAAGTTTGTTTTCCTTTTTCTCTTCCACCTTTTGAGAAGAGCCTTTCGGTTCCTCTTTTACTTTCTCAGAACTGTAACTTCCTTGCCAATTTCGGTTCTTATTGGTAGGAAATTTTCTTCTTGCAAATTTCTTTGGATTTGTTATCATTAGAGCATACTCCTCACTTGTAAGATCACATTCTGACATGTCTAACTCTTCTTCTTCCTCAACAGCACTTTTTCCTTTAGAGACAAGAGCCAGCGATCCCATGCCAGAGACCACTTTCGCCTCCTTAGTTACAACACTTTCATGTGACTTCAGTATCCCAACTAGTTTCGCCAGAGAGTAGGATTTGAACTGTTCATGCGCCTTTACAGTAGAAACCACAACCATCCATTCTAGTCTGAGCCCGTTCATGAATGTAACTTTCTGTTCGATCACCTTCCTTTCAATTCCATGCTTGATCATCTTACTTAAAAGATGATTGAACCGATCAAAGGTCTGAATGAACTTCTCTTCAGGTTTCTATTCAAATACTCCAAATTCTAACAGCAACAGAGTTTGAATGGAGTGTTCCAGATCCTCATCAGTTGAGTATAGTTCCTTCAACCTATCCCAGATTTCCTTAGCAGTTGTGCATGAGCCTACAAGCCGAAAGGTGTCAGATTGTAAGGCGAATTTTATCATTCGCATGGCTTTGACATTACACAGAATCTTGTCATTCTCATCTTGCGGCATCTTCTGAACATCTGTCACCAACTTGTTGTAATCTTTCTGTGTCTTGACGATGGTGTTTGTTTCTGAGTGCACGAACGGTCCAAGAACAATAGCTTCCCAGATGAGATAGCCATTATCTTCGGATCCAACCACGTAATCTTCAAAGTGATGAGCCCATACTTCATAGTCTTGAGTGTAGAGTATGGGAACTCTAGTTGTAGAACCGATGTTGTTTGAGATGTTAATAGGGTTTGTATGCGTATCTTCATGAGACATGGTGAGCTGCTAGAATCTTACCTGTAAACTTAAGATTAGGGTTTTATCAAAAGCTGAGTAGTCGTCGTTAAGAAGACGACGGCTTCGATAAAAGCGGAAACCCTAACTATTTGTGAATACAGAAGAAAAGTGTATCGACGAACACAATCTCCTGCTCTGATACCAATTGTTAGAACAATGTTCTATCAGGATCGTATGATTCTAAGCGGAATATAAATAAGAACGTAAATAAGAACACAAGTATTGCAAAGAATATGTCGAATGATTAATGCAAAATACCCCAGAAGAGCTCGATTAAGAACTTCAATCCGTAGAGGTAAATATTAGGGTTACAAGAATCAACGTGAACGACTATTCTATTATATACGCATACATGCATGCATATATTTATAACAAAACCCTAACAACTTATCTAGATAAAGGAAACTATTCTAGATAACTACGGATGGATAAGCCCAATCCGATTACAAATCAAAAAGCCCAAGACGCAACATTAAAATATTCAATATATATATATATATATATATATATATATATATATATATATATATATATATATATATATATATATATATATATATATATATATATATATATATATTTCTATTTCTATTTCTATTTGACCCAAAATTTTGAATATTAAAAAATAATGTAGTTTAATTTTATTAAAAAACTTCCATCATTTTCGTTTATAAGATATTTAAACTAATATATTTTAAATTTTGATGCTCTTATGATTTGAGAAATTTTAATGTTTGGTCCTTATAATAATCAATCTTTATTACTTTACTCCCTAGATTAACAAAAACTTAGCATTAAACTCTCGTATGAAAATTTATATCATGAAAGATTCAAGGTTACTAATCAAACCCCATACATAACCATACCGAACTTAACATTTAACTAAAATAATGATTTCTCTTTGGTCACCAACTAAAAATAGCAACTTATAACAACTTTGGCCCTTTATATCAACCTGATGGGTTGCCATCTTTATTTTTTATATTATTTTAATAGATTTATTTTTTGTCTTTAATAAACAACTAGTTGCAATAGAATACCAATGGGGTAGTCTAAGAGACAAATAGTTAGCCAAACTTAAGAATTTTTACATAATATTGTTTCTATTATGATCACAATCTTGAAACCGATTATTGATTATATATATATATATATATAGGGCTAGGTTCAAATGTTTCTAACATTTATTGTGTGCTCATACGCATAAATCTAGACCAACGGATGGAATAAAATCAATGGTCATGATCTGAGGGTGTATGATATTAGAATAGGTTAACATGTACCATATAATCACACAAATTTTAACGTATGGGTATTTTGGTCAATTAACCTATATTAAAAAAGGAAAATTTCGGATTTTTAGGGATAGTAATTCTTTTAATTTAATAAATCTGAATTTTTTAAATTAATTCAATTTTAATTATATCGTAATTCTATAAAATAAACAAAATTTATTCTGACAGAATGACAGTCATAAACTAGTAACAATATTTTCGATTTTATTCTTACAGAATATAATTCCAATTCAGATATTTTTTATAACTAACCATATTTAAGAATTCTACATATTCTTCATATATTCGACCTTAAATACAAATTAATAAATATTCTTACAGACTAATAGTCTTATACATTTTAATATAGTTACATAGATTCTAACAAAATATCATCAAAAATGAGTAAATTTATTAAGAAATAGAATTCTTAAATATACGATTATTGAACAAATTCACTTAATCTTCTTCAATGGTCCAAATAATCCACTTGATTCCAACTATTCTTATGAAAATGTGATATATTATCATAAGAATGTAATTCTTCGCAAATATACTTGATGATGAATTCAATTCCAAGTCTTTGTCTTGTATGATTAAATATTAGATTCCTTCTTCAAGCCATTCTGAAAGGATAACATGCATTACTCATTAATATTACTAATTAAGCACATATACTTGTTATTAACAAACATTCTTAAAGACATTCTGACTGAATGCATTTATACAAATAAATTATGACAGAATACAGTACAAAATATTCTATAAGAATACATATATACTTTATTCTAGCAAGATATTACTTAGAATCTAATAGCTATCAAAAAAACATGTTTATTTTGCAAGAATGATGCTATAAATATTCTTCCAGAATGGTTTTGATTATTCTTAAAGAGTATGAAATTAATTCAAATAAATAAAACTAAATCATCATGTTTATGGAATAACTAACCATAAGAAAAGCTAAAATAAAGAAAATAAAGACGCCATTAGACCAACACAAACCATATTAACAAAAGTACATTGGCTAATTTTCAAATGACTTATCAATGGATATCATATACAAATGAATGGATGAAATATTTGGTTTAAGCATTTTAACAAACATCTGGTGGGCAAAAATTTTAGTCCGAAGCTATGTACTAGTTTAGGGAACAAGAAAATCAAAATTTTATGTTAATCCAGTCGTTTAAAAAGAAAACTTACAAAGTCAAGTTTTGGGACTATAACAAAATAAGACTTTGCCATTTAAGAAACACTAACAATCTTTAAACTAACTAGGAAATGAACAGGCATGCTGGATTAATCAACTTATGCTAGTTGATGCTCAAGATCGATTACAAATCCTTCTTGATCATCTTGATATATATATATATATATATATATATATATATATATATATATATATATATATATATATATATATTCATACACACACAAATACCCATATATAGCTCGTCTTTAGTCTTCGTGCCTTCATTCTTGCATCGAGTTAAAGAAGATGAGAAGGTTCCTACGAGGTCACTAGTGTTTGCAACAACCTCCTTGTTTACTGGACAGAAAATCGAACATGATGGAGGTGAGTGATGGCAACGACTAGTGGAGGACTGACAGTAAAGATTGCCACTAAGCTTTTGTGGTCGGCAATTGAAGGATTTAGGGTTGTCTTCGAAGACGGGATTTCTCTAGTGATGATAATAAAAGAGACATCTTATTTAACAAACAAATTCACCCAATTTAAAGGATATTAAAATGTTTTAAATATTTACCATAATTAAATGTAGCCAAGATTACTATTATACCCTTTTATGATTTATTATTGAATTTATTTTTGTTTTATTCTGATTAGTTATTAGATGCACACAATACTTACTGAAAACATTTGAAATTAATTGGGAAAATGACTTATAAGGGTAAGTATATTTTTAAAATGGTCAAAAAAACATCATCAAAATTTAGCATGTTTAAAAAATACCATCTAACTAAGAGTTTTGTATAAAAAACATCGTATACATTTTGTTCAAATCTAACTAGTAGTAACCAACATGTGTAGGTTAAATGAAAATTTTTACGTGTAAAAAAATAATTAAGGAAAACTAAGAAATGACATGGCATTTTTTTATTCCGTACGTGGATTAATGGGGAAAAATTCCATGGGGTCAACGGAAGAAGGGATGAGTACTACTTTTTCTGCAGGGAGTATCTGTTTTTCAAAGTATGCTTCCATGGGGAAACCGGAAAATGCGACAATATCTTCGAGACTCCGACTCTCGCTGGCCGGTTAGTCCTGGACCTCCATTGTTACCACTACCACCGTCCCCATATTGAAGTTGCTTTGCAGATGTTTTGACGGAAATAAACATCAATGAAGTTTTACTCTGATGACTTTCTTTCTCATTCGAATTTTTCACGTCTTCTGGTTCTCCGATTTCAACGTCCTCCCATTTCATGACCTGTAAGAATTTTGATTTAGTTTGTAACCGACTTTAATTGAATCGGAAATCGCATGCATCATTAGGTCAAACACTTTGATCAACAATCATTGATAAAACAATTTACAACCTAGAATGTTACAGATGCTATTATTGATCACGAAACTTCAATCAGACACTTAACTTTCAATAATAACTTGTTTATGATTAATAAAGGAATTGAATTAACAGAGGAAAGGAGAGTTGGTTGGGGAAAAGTGCAACATTACACATATGAAGAAAGAACATCACCATTACACTTTCAAGATTGTGTTTATGGGATTTACACTTTCTTATGTTGTCTACAGAGTGGAAACACAACAGAAGGGTACTTGATGAAGCTGGACTAAGCATTTCAGGTAATTTAAGTGGTTGGAGAGAACACTCATGTTTACCAAAGCCTATCCAAGGACCTCACTGCCATTAATAATCGTTTGAATGGGTAAGAAAGAATATAATTATCTTCATTTTTCCCTCATATGAACTTTGACATTATCTTCATGCAGGTCCAGATTGTTGGTGAGTTTGGTGTAATTTTTCATCTTTTTGCACAGGGCCTAGAGTTTTCATCAACAAAGGTTCGTATTGTCCGAGTTGCTGTTTTAGGAGGAGAGGAATACCTCAGACCACCAAGTTCATAAAACCTTATAACTTTGACCATGTTGGATGATGTAGAAATCACCCTAACAGTTGCAAAAATAGATATAATGGATTTGGGTTTGTTGAAATTGAGTTGATGTCGTTGTTGAAAATGATGAATCGAGTGTTGATTATTGAGAAAAGAGTTTATTAGCAAGTGGAGTTGGAGCCGCTTTGATTGAATACGAACAAAGTGGGTGAAAAGGGAAAAAAGTCGATGGTATTCCTTTCAGAGGAGGAGATGAGAAGAAGAATTTTGGAGACCAGAAGAAGAATTCGTTCATGAATGTTGAATGATGCCCTAATTCGATTTATGAAGGAGTACGTCAATTAAAGCCATGCCACCCACTCTTATCCATGTCACCCATATTTATGCCATGTCATCAAGTATTAGGCCACGTCAACATTTAACCCGCAAGAACCGGTTACCACCGGTTAGATGGAACAAAATGTATTCTTCGATGGTGTTTTTTATGCAAAGCCTTTAGTTGGATGATGTTTTTTAAACATGCCAAACTTTGATCGGTTTTTTTTTTTTTTGAATGTTTTTGAAACATAATTACCCTTATAAGTCATTTTCCTAGCCTAATTCTAACATTAATATAATCTACTTTTCTTATGTTCAATAATATTTTCTATGGATAAAATAAGAAATAAGTTGTTTTAAATGAATCATTAATAAACAATATTGAACTAATAAACTTTGTATTATACTATTTATATTACACCAAAACATCCAAGGTTTCATATAGGAATGCAATTTATACATCATGTACACAAGAATGTCAAGTTTTTCTTCTTTACTATTAAAAGAGATATGGCCAACTATACATCATGTACAGAAGAATTAGAAACAGAGAAAACCAAGAATTGTCGCCCAACAAGAAACAACACCCAAAGTTTCACCTCTCAAATCAAATCAGTGAATTAGTTACACAACCATCAAACCCACATTCATTTCACCATCATCAACCTGCAATCATTTATTATTTATTAAACAACCAAACACTTGAGCTTGTGTTTTTTTTTTTAATTATGGAAAGGAAAGAGAAGTACTACTGACCTTCTTCGGAGAAAGCAAACACCCCACCAAGCATATCATCATCACCATCGCCATCTTCCTCGGATTTACTCCTCTGATGGAGGCCATTTTTGGCATCAGCATCATTTATTTCTTTTTTTTCCTGAGTGGAAGGGTTGCAGTATTCTTCTTGGAAATCGTGTCCATATCCATCAACAATATTGTTCATGCTTGAGTCGGAACGGTTCGAACCGTCGCTAGTGACCACGCTTTCCAAGGACTTGACCCCGCGGGCCACGGTTCGGTCGGGTGGGATTGAGCGGTCAACCGGAGATGGAGAATTCATGATGTCATCATCAAGAAGAGGAGGGTAACAAGTTAGCCCATTCATGCTGTCTTTATTATTTACAGTTGAAGCGAGAATAGGGTAAGATGCAATCTGTGCTTCTGTTGCTGAACCTGAGAGAATAAACAATAAATAAATAAATAAATAAAAACAGTGTTGGGTTGAGAATTACATTTACTTGCTTTATGTTTGGTTTGTAAATCTATCAAATGAATGTTATGTTAAAGGAAGAATTGTTTTTTGTGTGTTAACAAGGGTTTTTAGCCCGCACATTGCTGGCAAGAGGGACCATTTCTGTAACTTTATCTTACACAGGGATCGTTTCGTCTATATTTCCTACAGAAGGATCATTTCTATAATTTTTGACTTAGGCAGGGATTGTTTCTGTAGTTTGGTTAAAGAGAGACCATTTCTGTCATTTTGTATTTGAATATTTTTGTAAATTTTTTTATATATACTGATACAAATAGAAGAAATGTATAATTTTAACTATGTATATTTTAGTAGAAGATAAATAAAAAAAATCAAACCAAAGGATCTTTTTACCATTGGAATCTTGAGGAAACTTTTCATTGCTGCTACCACCATGGGAAGACGAAGCAGAATATCTACCAGCACCAAACACTCTTCAAATAAAATGAAAACAATTAAAAGTTATAAAAGCCTATACGCTTGCATGATAAAAGATTAGGAGGATGAAAAGGGCATTTGCATGAAAAGTTTAAAAGACGTAAACACCCTTGTTAGGATGATGAAATTTAAAAAAAAAAAAAAAGGAATGGAAGAGGGGTTAATGCGAGTGAGACTACCGGTTATCAGTCCAAGCAGGATGAAGTGCACAAGAGCTATCGAAAACAGGCAGCAAATCTTTCTCCCTGACTTCAATCTCATGCACCGGGATTGTTTCAATATCAACCTCCCCACCATGACCATCATCATGTAACTGTGGGGCCATTGCATAGAAATATATCTGTGCATATCATAATCAGATTCAGATCATAACTCATAAGCATTCTTGAAAAATGCCCAACATACATCTGTGAAAAAAAGACATAAATACCCTCTCCTCATCCTCGAGAATAGCACCTTGGACTTGGATTGAAGTCTCAACGAGACAAAAATTGCAATTTTTGTCCCACACAAGAAAGAGAGAAAGAAAGAAAGAAAGGTGGGGTGGGATGGGATGGGATGCAAAACGACGTAAATACCCTTCTCACCTTGGACTTTTGCCAAATGGGAACTCTCCCGGATCTCATTTGCACCTCAGCATGCGAAAGATACCACCGCGATCTCTCTTTTAGTTTACTCAAATCCTTCTCCACAACACCACCGTCTTCGTCATCGGAATTAGCCATCGCAGCCTCCACCGAACCATGTCTTCCCGGAGCACCACCAATACCAATACCAATACCAATAAACTCCTCTTTTTCCGGCCAATCCGTTCTCCGGCAAACATCCCACCACTGAACGGGTTCGACCTTCACCCTCAACTCCTCATCTTGAGGGGAACCGCTGGATTCCCCTTGCTCCCTTCCTAGAGAAGGCAACAGCTCATACTGAATCACATACCCAGATGGCGTATACACCAACAAATGCTCTAATACATCAGCTTTAGAAACAGAAACAGAAGGAGAAGGTTCCGGATGATTCCGGCGTACGGAAGAATGGAAACAGGCGGCAATGACACCTGGCGGGACAGCCGCCTTTCCGGCGGTGTTAATCCACCCGAAATTAACGTTTTTTATTCTGCTAACTACTGATAGGGTGATGGGGGGTGGGGGTGAGAATGATTGGTCTTTTGTGAAAGAGGAGGTTGACCACCATGGTTGTGATACAAAAGGTGAGAGTTTGGTTTTGTTGGAGTTTTGTATTTGAATACCGGTTTCACCACCGAAAGGAGACAATAGAAAGATATGGCATGTGCCCCTTGATGAAACTACAGCTATCCACTGACTATAGTTACTAAAACATATGTCCTGTATCACCTGTTAAATCAACAGAAAACCATACTCACCAAATAATCAATAAGCTGGATTTTATATATAATTAGTTTTTTATTTATATATAGAAAAGAAAATAAAACAAGAGAGAGAGAAAGTAGAGACGAACAGCAGAAGTCATGCCACGATGGAGTTTATAAAGATGGACATGAGCAGAATTCCAATCAAAGTTTCGGTTGCCTGATTCGTTATGTGAGGAAGATGGAAGAATCCGGAAAATATTGATATTATTCCCATGAACAGATGCAGTGACCAAAAGGGTCCCACTCGGATCAAAACATAGTGCAGAGATAGGACTTGTGTGGGCCCTAAATTGTGAAACAACAGCTCTTGATACAAAATCTTTAATCACAACCTGCACAGATAGTTTTTAGATACGATTCTAATTTCAAAGCAAGTTTTATAGGTAGATGCTTACAAAAAGTAAATATATTAATATATGAAAAATCTTACCATTCCTGCATTAGCATTTTCAGTAGAATGAGGCACAGCTCTGGTAGCATCAGGAAGAAGGTCATGGCAATACTTAGAGAAAGTTCTGTAACTCATATCTCCAAGATTAATAAGTCCACTAGCAAACTGCTTGCTGGATTCCATGGCATATCTGGCCATTAAACTTCCACTGCCAGGTGAGGTTGAGGGACTGACACCTGGCGAAGGGCTTAGATTTTGAGGACTTAATCGCCCTGTGTTTGATAATAATGGATTGTTGGAAGAATATGCTAACCACCTGGGCCCCACAGCCATTGGCCCATATCCAATATTGATTCCAGAGACTCCTTGTCCTCCTAATTGTGATATTGGATATGTGAGCACACTAAATTTGTTTTCCAGTGTAACCGCATCAAAGCAATATATCTGCCATGAAAGAAAAAAAAAAAACATTGTTAATTGTTCCATAACATTCCTTTTCAAAACTAGGAAAAAAAAAACAAACATTTTTAGTATGATTCATTCCTTGATGAATAAATTAAGTTGGGAACCGAATTAAACATAAATTTCACAAATGGAATTAGAAATCGAAGATATTAATATTATTAGTAAGGGTCTGTCTAGTTGGATGGAATGGAAAGATAAAGGAATGGAATGAGTTATTACTACATCCCATGATCATGTTTGGTTGGCCTATAGGAATAGAAATATGGAATGAAATTCCGTACGAATTTTTTATATTATATGTAAATACAATTTATAATATTTTAACTCTATTTTATAAATTATTTTTTATTTACAATTATCAAATTTTAATTTACAAAAACAAAAAAGCCCGTTGAATCCAAAATAAGTTGCAAAAAAAGTATATTATTTTTGTTATTTTAAAGACTTATAAGCGTACTTTAATAATAAA